TAACATACGAAGTAAAAATCCGACTGTTTTCAAACTTGGTACATCCTAATATTTCTTCCAAAAGAATATTTTTTGTAAAGATGGGAGATATTGGGCCATCCCTTCTGGTACCTCCCCCATAAAGGGGTCAAAATTTTGAATAACCAAAATGCTAATAACAAACGAAATAAAAATCCCATTCTTCCCAAACTTGGCACATTCCATTATTTTTACTAACACAAAATCTGGTGTGAATATGGAGTATATCGCCCCACTCCTTCTGGTACCTCCCCCACAAAGGGGTCAAAATTTTGAATAACAAAAATGATCAGAAAATACGAAATAAGCATTCGATTATTTTCAAACTTGTCACATCTTATTATATCTGCCAACACAAAATTCTTGATGAAGATGGGAGATATTGGGCCACTCCTTCTGGTACCTCCCCCACAAAGAGGTCAGAATTTTGAATAACAGAAATGTTCATAAAATACGAAATAATTATTCGATTACTTTCAAACTCGGCACAACCTAATATTTCTTCCAAAACAATATTTGTTGTGAAGATGGGATATATCGGACCACTTCTTGTGGTACCTCCCTCACAAAGGGGTCGAAATTTTGAATAACAGAAATGTTCATAAAATACGAAATAATCATTCGATTACTTTCAAACTCGGCACATCCTAATATTTATTCAAAAACAATATTTTTTCTGAAAATGGGATATATCGGACCACTCCTTCTTGTACCTCCCCCACAAAGGGATCAAAATTTTGAATAAACAAAAACGCTCATAAAATGCAAAAAAAATCAGATTCTTTTCAAATTTCACAAATCTCAATATTTCTGTCAGCACAAAATCTGGTGTAAATATGGAAGATATTGGTCCACCCCTTCTGGTACCTACCCCACAAAAGGGTCAAAATTTTGAATAACAAAAATGCTCATAAAACACGAAATAATCATTCGATTACTTTCAAACTTGGCACATCTTAATATTTCTTTCAAATCCATATTTTTTGTAAAGATGAAATATATCGGTCCACTTCTTGTGGTACCTCCCCCACAAAGGGGTCAAAATTTTGAATAACAAAAATGCTCATAAAATACGAAATAATCATCCGATTCTTTTCAAATTTCGCACATCTTAATATTTCTTCCAAAACAATATCTGTTGTAAAGACGAAATATATCGGTCCACTTCTTGTGGTACCTCCCTCACAAAGGGGTCAAAATTTTTAATAATTATAACGCCCATAAAATACGAAATAAGCATCCGATTCTGTTGAAATTTCACATATCTCAATATTTCGATCAACACAAAATCTGGTGTGAATATGGAATGTGTCGAGCCACTCCTTCTGGTACCTCCCTCTCAAAGGGGTCAAAATTTTTAATAATTATAACTCCCATAAAATGCGAAATAAGCATCCGATACTATTGAATTTTCACACATCTCAATATTTCTATAAACACGAAATTTGGTGTGAATATGGAATGTGTGGGACCACTCCTCCTGGTACCTCCCCCACAAAGTGGTCAAAATTTTGAATAACCAAAATGCTCATAACATCCAAAATAGGCACCCGATTCTTTTCAAACTTCACACATCCCAATATTTCTACTAACACAAGATTCGGTGTAAAGATAGTAGATATCGCTTCACACCTTCTGATACCTCCCCCACAAGGGTTCAAAATTTTTGTACCTCTGTGAGGCAAAATTCAATTTTTTTTCAACAATTAGAGGGAATATCCCACAGATTATGAAAGTAGAGCTAGAAATAGAAGTCATATGTAATGGAGGTTTAACAGTTTACGTCGCTAGTCAAACTAAATATGGGGGGAAACAAGTTCCCCCCTCTATCCCACTTTTTTGAATTTCTCAGATTAAGGTTCCTGGGAATCCGTTGATTTTAGGTATATAGTGTCTTTGGCAATATTACAGATAAAAACATGAGGATTATTTTGCTAGAAATTTTAACCCTCAAGTGAGTTACAAAAACGGTCTGTTTGGTCCTAATTTAAAACTATGCCCAAGAACTCCTTGAAAACGGAATCGTGGCGATCAAAGATATTCTACAAAATTATTTGTCATAAAGTTCTACCATAGATCACAGAAGACTTCAAAAGTCTAAATTTTATCTAAAAGCCAGGAATTCGTATATATATTAAATACACATTTTAGGGTTAACACTGTACTTTATGTGAGTTTAGGCAAAATACTGCCACAAAGCAGCATTTTAGAAGGATGATGTCAAAGACAAAATTGTTCCTCATCAAATTTCATTATGGGTCACCGAAACAAGGGAATCTCTCTTGTCATTGTATATGACAAAAATGTGGACAAAAGAGAGCGAAAATATTCACTAATTATTTTGATAAATTTTTCTTCGGTCTTTTTTCGAGTTCATGCCTGAAAATAGCATAAAATTTCGTGTAAGGCAGCAGGTGTTAAAGGAAGAAATATTCTACACAAAATTTCATTATAAATTTCAGAATAAATTATATATCTAGCTTGAATATATTTTAAGGAAATTACATTTTAAATCTATGTTTTACAAGGTAAAAGTATGCGTTAAGAGTTTTTACTGCTAATTTAACACGTTTCCATTCATAGTGAAAATCTCTCTTAAAAATAAATTTTTTGGGGTAAGTGTCAAGGGAAGAATTATTCCTCATAAAATTTCACTATGGGTCACCAAAACAAAGAAATCTCTATTTCCATTATATATCAAGAAAATATCGGCATCAATGTAGCAAAAGAAACAAAAAACATTTTACAAATTTTGTGGTAATTCCTTCTCAGACCTTTTTCGAGTTGACGCCTGAAAGTGACATACAATTTCATTTCAGGCAGAAGTTATCAGAAGAAGAAATATTCTACACAAAATTTCACCATAAATCTCAGAATAAATTATATATCTAAGTTTAATAGTTTTTAAGAAAATTACATTTTAAATCTATGTTTTACACGTGACAATTAAGTGTTAAGGGTTTTTATTGCTAATTGAACACGTTTTCATTCTGAGTCAAAAACTCCCTTTATATTTGATTTTTTGGGAAAATTGTCAAAGAAATAATTATTTTCCATTAAATTTCACTATGGGTCACAAAAGAAAAGGAATCTCTATTTCCATTATATATCAAGAAAATATTTACATCAATGTGGCAAAAAAATTAAAACTTTTTACTTATTTCTTTGATCAATTTTTCCTCGTCCTTTTTTCGAGTTGACGCCTGAATGTGACATAAAATTTCGTTTAAGGCAGAAGGTGTTAAAGGAAGAAATATTCTACACAAAATTTCACCATAAATTTCAGAGTAAATTATATATCTAGGTTTAATAGTTTTTAAGAAAGTTAAATTTGAAATCAATGTTTTACAAGGAAAAAGTGTGTGTAAAGGGTTTTTACTGCTAATTGAACACGATTCCATTCTAAGTCAAAATCATCCTTTATACTTGATTTTTTGGAGAAAGTGTTAAAGGGAAAATTATTTTCCATCAAATTTTAGTATAGGTCACCAAAGAAAAGAAATCTCTATTTCCATTATATATCACAAAAATATTTACATCAATGTTGACAAAAGGACGCAAATATATTCACTACTTTTTTTGATAAATTTTTCCTCGATCTTTTTTCGAGTTCATGCCTGATAGTGGCATACAATTTCGTTTAAGCCAGAAGATGCTAAAGGAAGGAATATTCTACACAAAATTTCGTTATCAATTTCAGAATAAATCATATATCTAGGTTTAATAGTTTTTAAGAAAATTACATTTGAAATGTATGTTTTACAAAGGAAAATTATGTGTTGAGGTTTTTACTGTTACTTTAACACGTTTCCATTCTAAGTCAAAATCTCCATTAAAACTTAATTTTTGGGGGAAAGTGTCGAAGGAAGAATTATTCTACATCAAATTTCACTTTAGGTCACCAAAGATAAGGAATCTCTATTTTTAATGTATATCAAGAAAATATCGGCATCAATGTGGCAAAAGAAACTAAACATTTTTACAAATTTTTTGACCAATTCTTCCTCGGTCTTTTTTCGAGTTGATGCCTGAAAGTAACATAAAATTTCGTTTAAGCCAGAAGGTGTTAAAAGAAGAAATATTCTACACTAAATTTAACAATAAATCTGAGAATAAATCATATAAATAGCTTTAATGGTTTTTAAGAAAATTACATTTGAAAATTAAATATTACAAGCGAAAATTATGCCCTGGTTTTTCGACACGTTTTCAATCCAAGCCAAAATCTCTCTTTATATTTCAGTTTTTGGGAAAGGTGTCAAAGGAAGAATTATTCTACATCAAATTTCACTATGAGTCTCTGAACAAAAGAAATTTGTATATTCAATATGTACCATTTAAAAATGCTATTAATTTTTGGTGAACAAAATTTTTTTGAAAAATTTAGAATTTTTCCCCAATTGGCTGTTATTTTTATATAACTTCGCTGTATAATAGTTGATTACGGTTATAGAAAATTCCAAGTGAAAACTCCGCAAAACGGGTTTGTCTCCTTAGGTCAAACCTTGTTAAGGCCTTTATAAAGACTCGACTATATACAAAGGGCCTCCCTAATAGTTTGATCTATATTTCAAACTTAGGAGAGAGCTTTGATATTTGTTAGAGGTCTTTAGAATACATTCAGAAACATTTCAAAGATATTTTTCAGATTTACATTTTTTTAATTTTATGTTGTAAAAAAATTAAATTTTATTTTTTTTTAAATATTTTTTTAAAGTTTTTCCCTGTACAAATCCTAGATTTTTTCTAGAATTTTTTTCAGGATTCCATTTTTTTTTTAATTGTATGTTTCCATTTTTTTTTTTTAATTTTTAAAATTAAAAAAAATTACATTTTATTTTTTTGATATTTTTTTAAAGTTTTTCCCTGTAAAAATCCTAGATTTTTTCTAGAATTTTTTTTCAGGGCCCTGGCAACTCTTTTTTTTTAAATGAAAACAACTTGACATTGACAGATAAGCCAAAATCCAAAAGAAGAAGAATCAGCGATTAGTTTACGGGATTTTTTGCCAAAGGAGGACTGGGAGACATTTTTAAAAATCGGAGGAAGAAATTGCTGGAAAGTGAATTAAAGAATTATTTCAAAAAAAATATAAATTGAGGATTTTTTGTTGTTTCATAAAACAAATAAAAAATATATATATTTTTAATAAAAAGAATAAAATAATGCAAAATAAATTGTGAATAAAATCTGACCCGATTTGATAACCAAAAAAACAAATCTGATTTACACATGAAAAAAATATGAAATAAATTTAAAAAAATATGTAAGAAATATTAAAAAAATCATAAAAAAAATTTAGAACAACTTGAAAATAATAAAAAAAATAAACCAAAAATTTCCATTGGTAATGGTAAAAAAATAAGGTAACTAACAAAAGTGCGTAAGTTCTACTGCGATTTTATCACTCGTTGTATGTCACTACGTGTCTGTATGTCGATTTTTGTGTTTTATTTGTAAATTATTTTCCTAGTTTATTGTTTTTTTTTTCTCGTTCCGTTCTTAACCAGTTTTTGTCGCATAATTTATTGTCAAAATAATTAGATTTTATTTCATTTTTTTTATGTTGTAAAACAAAAATATAATTACAATTCCTCTTTGTGTCAACCATCCATCCATACATCATTTAATCATCCAACAAAAACACATGGCATGCCTTTTTCTTTCAACCATGCCTACCGAATAGAAATAAAAAACAAATACACATGGCTCTCTTTGATGATCTATTAACATTTTCGGAGATGATCTATCACGAAAATAACAATAGGCAATGCAAAAATACTTCAACACAACACACGCACACACACAGTCAGCATGGCAATGTGGAGAACAACAACAACAATCAACAGACTCCATTGTCGTAACATTGCGACATACACACATCGTGTTTACGAGAGGTCTCCACTCTATGAAATCATTGTTATGGGGAGATATATGCATGCTCTCCCTATCTCCCCTTGTTTTGTAACAAGAACTCAGCTCTCTGGGATGATCATAACACAACAATAACAACACTAACATCAAATTATGTACACAGCACATAAAGATTTGCAAAAACCAAACAACACACAGCCATTAGGCAGTGTTAGTCATACGAAACAAAAACAAAACAATTATAACAACAAAAACTAAAACAACTCCATCATCGTATGGTCCACGATGTGTGGGGACTCCACACACATTGGCCTTTCGGCAGTTAACACCAAAACAATCATAATAATGAGTAAATGCTTACTCTCTCTATCTCCCCCATACATAATACAACAGAGCCACTGTACTTCGTACATTGGAGCCGAATGTAGTCGGCTTCTATTGCATACGATCTACTCTCCACATGAGAGTCCCAATGCTTGTGGCATTAGTGTTGTGAGAGTCGTAATCGGCTACCCAGCCACCAATGCTGTGTTGAGTGTTGAATATTTAAACAAATCTTCAAATGGCCATAACTTTTGTCCTCTTCAAGATATTTTGGTTCTGTAAAAAACTATTTTTTACAATAAAATCAAGGATTCTTAAGAACAAATTTAGAAAAATATTTATGGATTAGAAAGGGTGTGAAAACTAAGTTTTATAATTAATTTGGTATCAACACCGGCACATGAAGCAATAACAAGAAAACAAAACCATTGTACTTCCCCAGCGGATTTTTTAGCACATACATCTTCCATCTGAGACCAATGACAATGTAGGTGCGACCCATCCAAAGCCTGTATACAATTTCTACTTACATTTACACAGCGATGGCCTAGGCCGTCAGACGAGTCCGAAATCTACCGACAATGTAAGCGAATGTTGGATGGGTCCGAAATCGACCGACAACGTAAGCGAATGTTGGATGGGTCCGAAATCTATCAACATTGTAAGCGAAGGTTGGATGGGTCCGATTCCATCAACATTTTAGATTGTGGAACTTACATTTCAGCTGTTTTTTTTTATTAAAATATTCGTATTATAGAACAGTGTTTCAACGATAAAATATTCTTACTATAATTAGAAATAATGCATAAATTCAAAAGACGTGGGAAAAAATAAAGCTTAAACTAAAGGAAAAAATTAAACTTTTCCAGTTTTTTATTGTAGGACATTGTTCGGAAGTGTCTGGCCTTAGGGAATTTGAAACAATTTCTAATTTTTTTGGCGTAATCCTGTTCATTGAATCCTTTACATATGACAGCTTCTGAAATAAGGATAGAAAATATAGAAGAGTTTTTTAATATTTAACAGTTATACTATATAATACATTTTACATTTTAAGGTAATGTAATATCACTTTTCAATAAATATGTAAGAAAAAATTTAACTTACTGAAAATGGCCATGATTAAAATTTATATTCCTTAAACGCCTTTTTATTTTGGGTACCATCATAGCTGTAAGATAATATTATAGAAATGTCATTAATCTTGCAGAAGTTTTTAATAAGGCCATCTGGCGAAATTATAATTTTTATGATACTAACCTGAAAGAAATTAAATTATTAATGGATTATAGCGGAGAGTTTTTAATATTCTTACATATTTTCCAAAATCTTCTACAATTTTGGAATGCATGGAATCTGCTCATTTAGTACAATACCATTGTTTTCCAAACAGTCCGTCCTCAACTGTGCATTTATTTTAAAATTGTCTAATTCCACTTTCTTTAATCGTCTTAAATTACTCCTACTGAGTCCTGACATTTTATTTAACAAACAACACTTACTATATTCTTATTTTATTAATTTATTTTAATAACTTTTGTTCAATATTCACAACTTGCACTTTTAAAAACACTTCACAGAATAAAATTTTGCTTCAAAAAAGAAAGAAGCGTCAAAAATGAATAACGGTACAACAGCAGCTGCAGCAATAAACAAAAAAGTTACAAAACAATACAAAGGCATCCGATTCAGATGCAAGTGCGATGGACACTTTTTATTGTATTTTGTTTTGTTCTTTAATTCTAACATGGATTTTGTTTCACAATGTAATAGCAATACGACTCATCCGATTCGGATGCTAGTTGTATGCTATTAACCACTGTTATTTCATTTTTTCCTATTGACAATATAGCATACATTTGGATGGGTATTAAATTGTAATGGCCAGCGGACTGCTGGGTCGTACATTGAAGATGAATGTAGTCGGCTTCTATTCGACTCTCCATTAGAACGGTTGGTGGCGCTAGTGTTGTGTGAGTCGTAATCGGTTACCCAGTCACCAAAGCTGAATAGTTGAAAATTAAAACACATTTTTAAATGGCCATAACTTTTGTTCCGTTGAAGATATTTTGGTTCTGTAAAAACCATTTTTTCAGTAGAAAATCTAACTAATGTGCTATGCAGTTTGCTTAATATATAAACTGAACTATTTCTTCTGTAAATTCATCCTTAAAGGTATTCGAAATATTATTTCTTTAACAAAATCCACTTTTTGTTGGACTTTTAAAAATATTTTTTATTTTAAGTTTTTTTTTGCTGTATTTGCCATCTCTTGCAAATATTTTATTTTAAAAAACTGTAAATCATAAAATTAAATCGAACGAGTTGCTTAAAAGTTAAAAAATAGTTTTAAAAGCATATATTTCTTTTAAATAAAACAAAATATTAAAAAATTAAGAAATATTGAATGGAAAATACCAGTTTTTTTAAAGCTTGGAAAATTTTTTTCAAAATATGGAAAACGAAAATAATTTTTAAAGCTTAAAAATAAATTCTTAACAGAAAAAATACATTTTTAACACATATATACATTTTCTTAAATCAAAAAAAAAATTGATTTTTTTTTTCAAAAAAAATTATTTAATCACCAGAAAAAAACTTTTTACAACTTTTTTAAAAAAAAACAAAATATTTATAAAAGCATATATTTCTTTCAAATAAAAAAATATTAAAAAATTAAGAAATATTAAATGAAAAATACCAGATTCTTTAAAGCTTGGAAAAATACAATAATAATACAATACAACAAGAATAATACAATTTATTTGAAAAATCTAAAAAAGTGTGAAAAAAATACTAAACGAAAATATTTTTTATCAAAAAAAAAAAATAATAATAATAATAATAATACTTTTCAAAATTTGGAAAACGAAAATAGTTTTTTAAAGTTTAAAAGTAATTTTTTTACAGAAAAAATAAATTTTTAACACATTTATACATATTCTTAAATCAAAAAAAAATTGAATTTTTTTTCAAAATAAAAAAAAATTATTTAATCACCAGAAAAAAATCTTTTTACAACTAGTTAAAGAAATAAAAAAAATTATTTTTATGAAATGTGTTAAAAAATAATAAAAAATAACATGTTTTCCTTTCCAAAAAATTATAGAATTTAGAAAAAAAAAAAACATTTTCTAAAAAAGAGTTAGAAATCAAAAAATATATTTAAAAAAAATTAAAAAAAGTTTTTTTTTTGAAACGAAAAAATATTTAAAAAAAAAAACTTTTTTAAATTCCAAAAATAAAAAAATCCCTACTAAAATGAAAAAAAGTGCTAGAAATAAAATAAATTAAAAAAAAATATTTAAAAAATTAGGATTTTTTTAAATTTTTATTTGTTATTTGTTTTTTACAAAGGAACATTTATTCGAAAGAATATTTATTGTTAACCTCAATTTTTTTAATTTCCTTAAATTTTCTAATAATTTTTTTTAAATATTCAATTTAAAAAAATCAATTTGAAAAAATGCTTTTTTAAAAATGGAAAAAATAACGTTTTGAAAAAAAAATTGACAAATATTGAAAAAAACTGAATTTGTTTTAAGTTTGAAAATATGTTTAATTTCCTTAAATTTTCTAATGAACCTTATTTTTTCCAACAATCCGTAAAAACAATAAATCAAAAAGGGAATATTTTATTACAAAAATCAAAATATAATTTTTAAAATGAAATACATTTTTATTTAAAAAATTATTTAGAAGATTTGGAAAAAAACTTAAAAAAATATTGACAAATAATTAAACAAAAATAAAAGTAAAGTTTGAAAATTAGGGAAAAAACATAATTCTTTTTTAAAAAATTGTTAGAAATAAAATAAATTGAAAAAAAATACTATTAAAAATGGAAAATTTCTTGTATTAATAATCGGAATACATCATACTTTTCTAAAATTCCTCAACAAAAAAAAAATAATGCCGAATTTGAAGGGCTTTTTATATCCAGGAAATTAATTTTCGTGATTTTTTTTAAATTTATTTATAAAAATATTTTTCTCAACTACTAAAAAATATTGACAAATAATTTTTACATAATTAAAAATAAATAAAAAAATGAATTTGTTTAAAGTTTGAAAATATTTTAATTTAAAAAAAAAATTAGAAGTAAAATAAATAAAAAAAATTAAAAAAGTTTTTTTAATAATTTTCGGAATACATCATTTTTTTCTTAAACCGGATTTTTTTTTA